GGTGCTTTGAGAAAGACGCTGACACCAAGTAGTATTTCCCAAATGTCCTTGTAACTTGAGTGCTATCTAGCCTGCCCTTAAATAATTGAACAACCTTTCCGCATCTTCTTCTCAAATGTCTCACGTTATTTTCTCTCTTTTCCTATTCCCCCTTTTCCATGCTCTCTAAGGGGAAAACAACAACAATAGGCAAACAAACCTGCATGTGAAATTTCAAGGTGTTGAGAATTAAAGTGTGTTATTGCCATTTATCCTTTGTTTGCTTGTGAGTATAATATTGGGCCTAGAGGTAAAAGAGGCCTTAGACATACCCTGCAGGTGTCCAGTTCTTAATACTGGTGAATGGAAATGTAGGTGGGGACTGGAAAGCCAGGTCTCCTAGGGTCATTCTCTGTAGAGGCAAATGGCATATGGAATGTTTCCTTTACAACCCAGACTACCAGATCACACAGCTGAACTAGATTTCATTGAGCTCAGCCTTTTCTGTGTTCCAAGTTCTTCAGATTATTTCCTGCTATTTCTAAAGGAAAAACAGGAACTTAAAATACGTGGTAGAAATCCATGCGAAATATTATTTCCTTACTTTCTGTTAAAATAGCAAATGCTTATCAGGGTGGGGTCAGCCAGGGTCTTTCTTATTAAGTATCACTTACTTTATTTTGGGAGCTCCAGTGGCATAGTGCCTAAGGCATTTGACTGCTAACCAGAAGGCTGGCAGTTCAAACCCACCAGCTACTCCTTGGAAGGAAGACTGGGCAATCTACTTCTGTAGAAATACCACTTCAGAAACCCAAGGAGGTATTGCTATAAGTCAGAATCAATAAACCAGGGTCTTTCTTTTTAAGTAACACTTACTATTTTATTTAGTAAAACCAGTTTGAAACTGTATTAAGGAGTAGTGCAACACAACTTTTTAACATCTTTGTTAGTGTTTACAAATGTTCAACCATTTTATGTTTCAAAGTTGATTAAATATTAATTATAATGAAATCAAATGAGTAATAAATACTAAACTGTTTATTTCTAGGAAGGGGAAATCCTCTGAATTTAAAGCTCATACTGCCCCAGTTCGCAGTGTCAACTTTTCGGCTGATGGCCAGTTTTTAGCTACAGCTTCTGAAGACAAATCTATTAAAGTATGGAACATGTATCGCCAGCGCTTCTTATATTCTTTGTACCGCCATACACACTGGGTACGCTGTGCCAAGTAAGTACAAAAAGTTTCATAATAGGATTTCCACTTTTTTTTTTTTTTTACTATAGTTCATGTTTATCTATAATCCCTAGAATAGAGAATTGAGAGCAAATGCATTCATTCAACAGATGTTTATTGTGCATATGCTCAGAATACAGTAGTAAACAAGAACCCTTGCTTCCATGGAGCTTACAATATAGAGAAGAGAGAAAGACAGTAAACAAATAGATATATAATAGATCTAGTAGGTCAAGTGATGATGAGCATTATGGAGAATACAGCTGAGTTAGGAAAACCAAAATAAACCAAACTCACTGCCGTTGAGTTGCCTTAACTCATAACAACCTCTCCTTGGGTTTCCAAGGCAGTACCATTACAGAGGTAGATTGCCCAGTCTTCCCTCTGAGGAATGGCTAGTGGGTTTGAACCGCCAGCCTTGTGGTTAGCAGTCAAATGCCTTCGGCCCTACACCACCAGAGCTCCTCTGAGTTAGGAAGTAGACTGTATTTTTAAATAGGACATTGGAGATGGCTTCACAGAGAGAGTGGCCATCTAGTCACCTAAAGGAGAGTAGGGAGTGGGGCTTGAAGAAATTTGGAAAGGAATGTCCTTGTCGGAGAGACAAGTCTGAAAGGCCTGAGGAGGGAGTGTGGTGGTTTGAGGAAGAGCAAGGAGGCTGGTGTGGAGCAGAGTGCAGGGCAGGGGGTGGGGCGGCGAGGAAGGCACCAAAGAAGACTGGGGCCAGGTCATCTGGCATATATTCTGAGTCAGATGAGGTGACATTGGAGTGTGTTCATTAGAGGAGATCTCTGGCTTATATGTTAATGAGATAGATCACTGTGACTGCTGTGTGGGGAGTTGACTGTTGGAGGATGGGGCAGAAGTAGGGAGAACTTGTTAGGAGGCTCTTTTGGTAGTTCAGGTCCCAGCTTGGACCAGGGTGGTAGCAGTGGAGATAGTAAGAAGTTGTTAGATTCTAGGTATGATTTGAAGTTAAAATCAATAGTATTTGCCCTAAGGTTGGTTATGACAGAAAGAGAAGAATGAAGAATGACTCCAGAATCTGTTGATAAGCAGGTGCTTTTTTAGGTGTTATTTTGTACGTGTTATTTTGAACTAACAGCCCTGGAGCCCTTTCTATTCATAAGATACACTGCTAAAAGACTTCACATTTGTAGCTCATTTCACCATTAGCTCTTCCCTGTGGGGGAAGGGCTTTTGTTTTATTTTCTGTTTTGTAGGTAAGGAAACTGAATTTTGGGGAGTTAAAGTTAGGACTCATTTAATTGAAAGCAACAGAAATTCAAATAAATTCTTTTTCTCTCCTTGGGTGACGTGTTTGAAAACCTTAGAGTAAGGAGGGGGAGCCTAAAGCTTGGGACTTAAATACTGTCAGGTCCCTCTCTCTCTCTTGTCTCTGGGTCTCTCTACATTGCCAGCTTTATTTTCTTAAACACCCTGGTGCTGAGACCATTACCAGCTCCAGGCTTAAGTCCTTTCTGGGACCAGAAAGGAAAAGCTGCTTTCTTCTGACTCCTGTTAGAAAAGTACCAGAAGTGATAATGGCCCAGCTTGGTCCCATGACCACCCCTTCACAAGACAGTGAGCTACTGTGATTTAGATCCAGTTTCTGGCTCAGACCAGTTACCTTGGTCAGGGACAAGGGGATTGTATTAATTTCCTATGGCTGCCTTAGCAAAGTACTGCAAACTGGATGGCTTAAGACAACAGATATTTATTTTCTCAGAGTTGGGAAGCTAGAAGTCTGAAATGAAGGTACCAGCTGGGCCATGTTCTCTCCAAAGCTGCTTTCAGCCTCTGATGGTTGCAGCAATCCCTGATACTCCTTAGCTTGTAGACATATCACTCTAATCTCTGCCTTCGTTATCATGTGATGTTCTCTGTGTGCATCTGTTTCCCACAATAAGGGGCATAGACCTCACTGCTGGGGGTGGGGAGGGAGAAGAGGAGCAGGTCTCACTAGAAAGGTGTATGGTATAGACATGGTCACTGGAGGGGTAGGTGTGAACCCTGCAGCTACCTTGTTTGGGCCTGCTGTGTAATATAACGTGGCCAGGAGTCCCGAGGCACATCTAGGATATGGTGGAGTAGAAGTTTGAGCCTGGATCTGCCTGTCTTGCCTTACAGCCCACACTCTTAACCATTGTTAATACTCTCAATGGGACATTGTTGCTCAGTAGATACAGATTAAAATCTATGGTAATGAGCCTTATGAGAATTAAAAAAAGAGGGTAGAGAGGAGGTCATACTTTTAATTTTTTTTTCCTTTCTTCTAAAGGTTTCAGCTTCTTTTTGGCTTCTCAGTGTTATTTCTATAGCTGCAGTATAGCAATGTAGTTAAGCGTATGGGCTGTGGATCTACATCTATAGGTTAAAATCCCAGCCCCACCACCTATTAGTTGTGTTACCCTAGGGAAGTTACCCAATTTCTCAGTTTCTCACAACCTGAAAAATTAGGATAGTTCCTCCTGCATAATCATCACTATATAAATATTAGCCATTATCCTCATCCTCGTCATCAGACATACCGTTCTTGTTAACTCTTTAAAGATACTATATAACCTGACTCAATATTTTCCCATCTAAGGGGATGACGAGCCTTGGTGGAACAGTGGTTAAATGCTCAATTTCTGGCCAAAAGGTTGACTGTTGGAGCTGTTTGGCCATCAAGAACAGAACATCACCTTCCTATGGGAGTGAGTGAGTCTCAGTTTTGGCTTTTTTACTGAAAGCACAGGATTTACCTCTGAGTTTGCTCTTTCAGGCTTTATTTGTTTATTTAAACCTTTAGTGGCTGAGGAACACAGGAAGCAAACAACTGACTTGAAAATGATGCCGATTCAAAGGAGAACAGAGTGTAAGATGAAAATAGACTGAATTGCTGTCCAATCCTGTAGTTTAGCCTCTGGTTCTAGCCATGTCTGAAATTACTATATTTGTGTTTGTGTGACATATGTCTTTTTAAAAAACTCCCTTTTACTTTAAAAAACAAAGTGATGCTTTTCATAGGAATTACTGGAGCAGAGTTTTGAAAAAGTGGAGGATATCCATACTTGACTGCTAACCTGAAGGCTGGCGGTTCAAACTCACCAGGCACTCCTTGGAAGGAAGGTTGAGCAATCTACTTCCGTAGTGATACTGCCTCGGAAACCCAAGGAGGGGTCACTATGAGTTGGGTCGACTCAACGGCACATAACAACAACAACAAAAACATCTTCATATCCAGTGATAGGCATCCCAGACATTTGTTTTATCTCCATTCTCAGTACCACTGCCTTAGTTTTAGCATCACTGGCTCTTTGGAGACCTTTGCAGTAATTTCCTAAATGTTCTTCCTTACTATAGATTTACTTTCATCTCAGTATTGCCTTTAACATGTCTTTTGTGAAAGGCAAACTTGATCGAGTTATTACTCAGCTTAAGACTTCAATGATTCCTTGCTCTGGCATGTACACTCTGCCTTCCTCTTCATCCTTATCTTTTGTCCCTTTGACCCTTCACCTTATCACAGCCATACAAGTCCCCAAGAGTGCAGGGCTCTTTTATGTTCTGTGCCTTTCCCCATGCTTCCTTCCGTGGCTGGAATATGCCCTGACTCTACCCACCCTTCACCATCCTGCTCTGCATTTCTTTCTCCTAGAAGTGTTTCTGCTCCCCTCTTCTGCCATCACACTGTGCTGTTTGTGAGGTCTCTTTGTCATCTTAGGTCTCTCTTCCCTATTAGACTTTGAATTAGAAGTAGTTTATTTATATTGTGTGCTCTTACAGGCACTGTTCTATAAATTTTGTGAATTCCACAGGAAGTAAAACAGACAACATTCCTATACTCATGGAGGTTCTTCTACTGAACGGAAACAGGCAATAAACAAATATATTAGTGATAAGTGCTTTGGATATAAATCATGTATGGCAACAAGAAGATACAACTTCCTTCCCTTGAATTTAAAAGGGAGGACAACATTTTCAGTCCACTAGATGAAAATCTTCCTCTCCTTGGTACTGTACATGGTTTGTAGATGAGAGGTGCTCTTTTATATGTGGAGATCAGGGGAGGCATCTCTGTTAGGTGACATTTGAGCAGAGACCTGCCTGACTGAAGTGAAGGAGCCAGTAAGGTGACTATTAGGGAAGAGTTTTAGAGGCAGAGTCAGACCCTGTAGAGTGTTAGTTACTGGACTGTGGAAGGCTCAGAGAAGTGGTACAAATATGTAGGTTCATTGAATCAACGGAAAGTTGATGAGTAGGCTTAAGTGGACATTTAATGTGGCAGTAGCACTGTTAAAAGTTTTCATGGCCTCTTCAGGGACGATTCACTTTGTGAATCTTTTCTATTAAAGATCCTGGGATATTGTGCATACCTGTTAAGCGTGGAGAATCCATACACTGCTTCACTGCTTCACTCTTTTGGTGAACACCATTCATATTGATCATGTGTATTCTCAGCACATTTGGTCTTGATAGAATAATTTATCTTGTTAGTATCCTGTGGTTCTGAGGTTTGTTTAATTATTTATTTTAGTCAATTGGTTTCATACCATTAGGAGTGAATGGTTCATGCGAAATTCTGCACAGGCTACTTTGGAAGAATGTTCCTTGATAATAATTGGGTTAAATTTATTGAATTAGGATTTCGTATTCTTAACAACTTCCCACGTGTGTGCTCCACAACATTATTATCGATTCTTATACATTTATTATAACCTCCTTTATTGGCTTCTCTTAGGCAGTTTGAGAGCAAGAGAGGGTTGAGACCAGTGTTTAACGGATCCAGTGACTACTCAGGTCTAGTCTCCCAGAGTGTTTGCAGCTTCCTGTAAAAACTTAGTCTTGGTAGTATCATCCAGAACTCTCTTCCGAAGGTCTGCAGAACCAGAAACCCAGTTTTGATCATATACTCAGAGTTGAGAAAGCTCAGGGGAACCCGAGTCATGATTAATAAATTTAATCTGAAATTAAACCAGATGCCAGTTTACTTATTTATAATGACAGTA